TCTGAAGTTGCTCTGGCGTGGTGCATAGGTTCGTAGCACTTGGTATTTTTGTGCTTGGTATTTTAGTACCTTACTGTGGACCGTAAAGGTTAGAGAGTAAAGTACAAGTTTCCTGTTTTGTTTTAGTATTCTTTTTTGTGACAGTTTCAAGGGAAGATAATTCATGTGTAAAGCAAGACACACCAAGCATCCAGAAGACGCCTTTGTACTGTCACGGATCATCTCATTGTATGAGTTTCCAGATATAGGCTGCTCTTTGGCAATTAAATTGATTTTTTTTTTTTTTTTTTTTTTTTTGGCTGGGGGTACTATGATTGAACCCAAGGCCTTCACACTAAGGTACATCCCTTGCCCTTTATTTGATTTTTTTTTTTTTTCGTACCAGGAATTGAACTCAGGACCTCGATCTTGCCAGGCAGGTGCTTGTGCCGCTGAGCTATATCCCTGGCCCCCTTGCCCTTTATTTGAGATATAGTCTCACTAAATTCCCCTGACCGAGTTTGGGATCCTCCTGCCTCAGCTTTCTGGTGTGCTAGGATTACAGGTGTGCACCACCACATTCAGCAAATTAAGAAGTTTCCTAAGGGCACAAGTGGTTGAACAGCTAGTTCAGTGTTTATCTTGAGAATAGTTTCTAGAATACAGACCTGTTTTTGAAAACTTGTGTGAATTAAAAATATGTAGGACCTGAGGGTGATTGGTAACCCTGATGCGATGAGGTTCTGATGGCAAGTAGTTAAGACCTAGGGTGGGAGCCTAGGCTGGGAGGGGGCTGGCAGGCTAGCATGTGCTGCGGTTCCTGCTGACCACTTCTGACTGCCTTGGGAGGCTGGTGTGGTGAGACAGCCCCAGCTGGAGGTGAGGGTGGTAACATCAGGCGCCCTTACTGCAGTCCTGCATGGGTAGAACTGTTAGACCAGTTGAGAGACTGAGGCCTAGTTAAGTTTTTTCCTAGTGCAGAGCTGAGGTTTTCTCCCCAGACCCCTAGCAGTGCTGAGATTTGAACCCAGGGCCTTGGCTTGTATGAGTTGGGCCAGGCTTTGCTATAGTATGCTACTTCTGGAGTTTTGAGCTTTGCTTTTCTGAGCTCTTCAGTACTCTCTGTTGTGTAAATTGGCCTCTTTTTCAGGAGATAAGTATTGCTGTTATCTCAGTTTGCAGACTGTTGTTTTTGGAGACTGGGTCTCCTTATATAGTTTAGGAGGCTGGCCTTGAACTCACTTTGTGGCCCAGGCTGGTCTCAATTTCATAGTGATCCTCCTGGCTCAGCCTCACAGTGGATTTACAGGCATGCGTGGCTGCAAATGAATTTTTAATGTGTGTCAGCATTTTTTACCAGCTAGCTGGTAAGTAGTTGGTGTACTTAGAGATTATATTTTTGTTTCAGAAGCATCTCTGTAATAATTTAATTGATTATGACTTCCTGCTGATCTTTTCACTATATGTAAATTTGGCAGACAATCTCGTTCCATTTCCCAAATGCTTGGCATCATGATAGGAAAAGAAAAGAGACAAACTTAGTCCATTTCGTTCATTTGCTTTCAGTAAGAGTGGATGGAAAGGAGGATGGAACGGTAGGCACTGTCAGGCTGGGGCTGGGGGAACTTGCCCTTGACCACTGTGATAGCAGAAGTTGATTGTGTGGCACCTGGTGAGGATAATAGGGGCTACTGTGTGCTGAGTACATAGGACACACCAGGCCAGTGCCATGGTGTTTTGGAAATGATCCAATCCGAGTGACCTTCTAAACCAAGTGGTGGATCCTCCATTTTACAGATGGAAAAACTGAGGCTTAGAGAAATTGAAGCCGCAGAGTTAGTAAACTCAGATTTCAGTCTTGCTCACTCTTAAAATGTGATTGTATTCCCAGCACTCTGTGAGGCTGATGCAGGAGGATCCCAAGTTGTAGCTCAGCCTGGCAGTTTAGTGTCTTAGTGAGATTCTGTCTCAAAAAGTAAAGAGCTGCAGATAAAGCTCTAGAACAAGGCCCTGAGTTACTCCCCAGTAAATGAGTAAATCAGTGCATGAATGAAAGGTGTGAATTTCCCTGTGGTTTCTGTTGTCCTGCCTTCCGTGCTGCTGCTTGTTACCTGAACACAGTGGGTGTTTCATGTTCTTGTTTTTGCACATGCTCCTCCCTGTCCAGAACAGGCTTTTTAGCAAATTCCTGCTTGTGTGCCAAGACTCAGTTGCCTGTTTCTGTGGTGAGGTGGATGTGTGTTTGTGTGGTTTTTATACGGTATGTGTGAAAGAGCTCACTTCATAGAGCAAATGTATCCATAAAGCAAGCAAATGATAAGAAACCTATGTATGGATGAAACTCCGGAATTAAAATTAAATATTGTAGTTAAATACCACTGATTCTTACTGTATTTGTTAAGCGTACAATAATGGGTGTTTTCGAGGCTATCCGTGCAAGTTGGAACGGTGCCATACCACATGGAAGTCTGTTTGTTGAGGTCCTGTGTGTTTAGGGTGCCAGGTGCCAGACGTTAGTGTGTGTGCCGGGACTCCTGGCTTGGCTGCGCAAGGGGTGCTGTGGTGACTGTCAACACTGCTACTTTACTCCAAAGAACACCTGGAGTGCTCTGTCCTCAGTGACCTGGGTGACACAACTGAGGCCCTGTGTGTTGGGTCTTCTGTAGGAATTTTATTAAAGATTGTTCGATTTAGTTGTCCTTCTTAATGTTCTTAGTCAAATAAATGGGTGAACTGGTTTTGATTAAAAAAAAAACAAACTCAGTTTGCTGTCACTGGGACATCTTCACTGGCAGAGGTGATTGTTTGGTCGTCTGTGCACCCCAGCCTCTCAGTCTGTCTTGGGGCATAGGAGCGCCCACTGCTGGGTGCAGTGTTGTATAGCCCCGTTAGCCCCTGGTAACCCAGGGAGCAGGTTCTGTTACTGTCCTACTTAAGATGAGGAACCTGAGAGGGCACGCAGCTAGCAGTCAGAGCACTGGCTTCAGGGAGTGTGGGTCAGTTCTAGCTTTACTTACTGTGCAGCCTCACCTCCAGCACCTGCGCCCTTGTAGCATTTATCTTACCTACTAGGCCATCTCCCTTGAGTGCAAAGTCCTTCATTCTTGTTTTTCATTCGTTGAGTCAGAAGTTGCTTGGATTCTCTTCTCTTTTTTCTTTTCTTCTGGTAATGGGGACTGAAGCCAGGACCTTTGTACTGAGCGACATCCCTAACCCTTTAACTTTTTATTTATTTTGGGACAGGGTCTCACTAGATTGGGCTCTAATTTTTGATCCTCCTGCCTTATCCTCTCACAGTGCTGGGATTGCAGGCCTGTATCACCCTGCCTAACTAGTTGGTCAGATATTTCAATTAATGATGTGACAAAGGCAGCTGTGTGGGAAGGAGGGACTTATAAGGCCTAAGAAGACTGTCCAGAGACTTCCTGGCATCCTGTAGCCTATGTAGTTTGAGCTGTTTCTGTGATATCTTACAAACTCAGGTGAGGGACAGTTCAAGGACGAGCTTATATTATGGATAATTATAATCTCACTATTTTATGACCTTTTAGAGTTTCATCTTGTGTGGCATGCTTTACATAGAATTGGTTTTCTGTGGACTGCTCCAGGAGTTTTGTGAGATGTCCGAATAGAGAGGAATGTAGTGGCCAGTCAGTGGTAAAGAACTAATATGCTATTACCGTGGGTTCCAGAGGGATTCTTAGATTGTTCTCTCCATACCTTTTTTAATGCCTCAGAGTTGTTTACTGTATTTTGTATTAATTTCTGACCTGTGGAGTTTTAAAAAGTCAAATTTTCACTGTAGAACTTTTTTTGGGGAAAACTATCCTTTCTTTTTTTGTTGTTGTTTTTTTTCCAGTACCGGGAATTGAACTCACGACCTCATGTTTGCCAGGCAGGCACGGTGCCGCTGAGCTAAATCCCCAGCCCTGTTCTTTCTTGTCCTAATCAAATGATCTAGAAAATTTGATGTGACAAACAGGTATACATATATTTTTAGACAAGTGTGTGATATGTTCATACCCTTGACCCAGTGTAATGTATTTTCCCCTTCTTAGTTATTTGCTGCAATTGCTAGCCAGTTATCTTTCCTACCAACTTACATAAAATTAAATTTATTTAATGAGTAAGATTTATTCCTTGGTCCCCCTTCACACTTTGCAGCTTGTGATAATACTCTAGGTAGCCTAATCATCAGGGTGTTACAGCTGGGGAAACAGGCCTAGGAAAGGTTTGGTAATTTGCCCGAAGTTGTACAGCTAGCAAGTAGTAGAATAAGAAATTTCCTATTTGGCTTTATACTTGAGATCCTCCTGCATAGCTAGTATTATAGATGTACAGCACAAAGATTTTTTTCCTAGTGTTATTTATTTGTTTGTTTGTGCTAGGAATCGAACTCAGGACCTTGAGCTTGTCAGGTAGGCACTTACGCCACTGAGCTATATCCCCGGCCCTTTTTTTCCTAGTGTTGTTTGAGGAAAAGTTGATATCCCACATGGTTGACAGTGTTTTAGTTAACAGTTTCAGTGCTCATCAGGGAAGAATTCAGATTTCTGGCCTTAGACTCCTTATAATTTTTACCTTTTGTTTTTTGCCCCCTGTGGTGATGGAAACCCAGGCCTCTAACATAATAGGCAGGTACTTGCCTGCTGAGTTCTGTTCTACCTCCTTGTTTTCATTATTTATTTTCTAAAAATACAGTACTAGAAATTGAACCCAGGGCCTTCTTGTTGAGCTCCATTCCCAGCTCTTTTTTTATGTTTTATTTTGAGACAGGGTCTTGCTAAGTTGCCCAACCTGGGCTCAAACTTTCCATATTCCTGCCTCAGTTTCCCAGCTGGCTGGGATAAAAAGTATGTACCACTGTGCCTGGCTAGATTTGTTTTTTAAGTGTCTGAATTTGTTATGGTTTTGGCTCTCTGCAGAAAAGGAATATAAAGTTAAAAATAACCCTTCCATTTGGTTAAGCTATTGATAATACTTATTGCTTATGAAAAATAACTGGAGCCTTCCTTTTTCAGGGTAATCACTTTGATCAGTATGAAGAAGGACACCTGGAAATCGAGCAGGCGTCTCTCGACAAGCCCATAGAATCGGTGAGCTCCCGTGGTGCCCATGGGCTGTGGTGGGTCGGGCGGGCAGTGCTTGAGTGCCCCTGATGTGAGTGGGCTCAGCCACCACCGACTGGATGCGCAGCTCAGGGCTGTTGCTCCTGCATGCCATGCAGTCACCAGCTAGCATTTGGGGTATAGCCTAGTGTTTTATATATGGGGAGATCAGCCCAAAACAGAAGCAAATTAGGGTGTTAATGAAAAATACTATTTTGGCCTATGCTGATATGCTGATAAAGATAGCAATTAAAGTTTAGTGCTTAATGTGAATTAAATAAAGGAGTAAAGGTATTTCGGCCTTTTAACACCTTTCCTGGGCAACATAGTCACAGGAGGCATCTTTTAGGAACAGTACAGTGATGCATTTTTTTCACCAGACCTTGTTAAACTTGTTCTCTGTAGCTTGAGAAATGTCTGGGCGTTTTTGTGAGAGGTTTATTTTCCGATGCTAGAGATTGAACCTCAGGGCCTTTGCACTGAGTTACATTCTAAGTCTTCTTTGAAAAAATTTGAGACAGGGTTTTGTTAAATTGCTAAGTTGCCCAAGTTAGACTCCAACTTGTAGTCCTCCTGCCTCAGTCTCCAAGAGGGCTCAGATTACAGGTGTGCGTCACCATGCCTGACTACTTCTATCATTGTACACTGGTTACTTAGAGACATTAATGATAGCAAGCAGTAAAACAAGATTTGTTTTTCCTGTCTCTTAATTTTATAAATTTTTTTAATTTTTGAATATTATTTTTATCCTGAAAGCCTGTTATTTTTGAATAACACAGCTCTTTGTTAAGATGTCTACACTTGTCATTATTGTCAGCATTTAATATTTGTGTTTAAGCGTACCTGTTCTGTAAGGGTTTCATTGAGTCATGGATAAAACTTGAATGGGGATAAAACTCAGAGGGAATCTTAATCTTAGTCAAAACAAACCCCTCTCTCCCTTTAAGAAATACAGCGTTTTTCCCGAAGGAGAATAATGAGGCAAGTTATGAGAGACTTGAACTTTAGTTGTATTTTTAAACTTAGGACATAGTAAAGGATCAGCATATATTTATATTTTGTATTTTTAAGCTTAGGACATAGTAAAGGATCAGCATATATTTATATTCCTAATTAGGTTGGTGTTGTGTGTGTTTTTGTGTGTGTGTTTAGATGTTTACAGAAATTTACACAACTTGGGGTGTTCGACATTTTTCTTCCACAGCAGTTGGCCCATATTAGCTAAGCAGCCATGATCTGGTTTGTATTGCACGGTCTGCCTTTTAAAAATTTCTTCTAGGGTTTCTTTCTCCCCACCTGCCCTTCTCGTCTCTGTCCTTCTGGTCCAGTGAACACTGCATACAGTACCTTCTGTCTCCATGTGCTGGCATGATGCTAGACTCAGGCATGGCCCTAACGGTGACGCATGCGATACTGCTGCAGAGGGAGAAGCATCCTGGGGCGGAGAGGCCAGTCTGTGTATGGACGAGGGCCCAAGGCCAAGCCCATCCCACCCAGTAACTCACTCCAGTTTGTACTTTGCCCATATCATTTCAGGGATTATTACAAGGCAGATCTTTACAATGAAATTGGTAGCTAAAACCAGTATCTTGTACTTGAAAATAATTTCATTTTTCATTTTTATTTAATTTTGTTTCTGTGGATCAAAGTTAGAAGAGCAGCCAGCCAGCAGCAGGGCCTCAGGGCCATATCCTCTGAGATGCATGGTTGGTTAATGTTCTTACATGTGCTACAGTTCTGTGAGTCCTTCCCCCTGATAGTAGCAGGAAATTTAATTAGCCTGGATTTGCAGTGTATTATTACTACTATACTCAACAAGGTTTTTAAAAGGCACTAAATGATATTTAATATTTTTTAAGCTGCCTTCTTGGGGCACATTAAGTTTTCTCAAAAATTCATTCCTGTGAGGCTAATGCTGTTTTACCTCACGTTGTCCAGCACGTTCTCTGTTTCGTGTTTTAGGGCATACACTGTCAGAAGACAGTCTGGTTGAACAGTCTCATTGGGCTGGTCCCTTATTTATTAAGCACTGCTATATTCCCCACTTAAAATAGCAGATGGTATAATACTCAGATTATACATTTAGTTTTTAATAAACATATTCACAGATGTATAACATGTTAATTATACTTCAAAATTGCTGCTGAAACACATAAATATATGCACCGTCTGTGATGTGTTGGCTTAGGTGTGGCTAGTAGTAGGGGTTTGTAGCCTCCATTGTGTTAGATAGATGTAGGACTCACCTGATCATTTGGAAATAAAATTTAAGGTTTTATTTTATTTATTTATTTATTTATTGGTATTGGAAATCAAACTCAGGACCTTGCGCTTGCCAGGCAGGCGCTTGTGCCACTGAGCTATATCCCGGCAAATTTAAAGTTTTAAAAGAAACTTCTATAATGATTGGCATTTTAAAAAATGTTTCTTTTTGACTTCCCCTCAAGAAAAGCCCCCATCCCCAGGGATTGCTCAGCAAGCAGGAGCTACTGACTTGGCTGTGTAAGCTATGCAGGTTCAGGAAGAGGAACTGCTTCTCATACAGAGTCCCTGCTGAGTTAAGATCTTTCTCTGCAGCAGTATCTATTGAGAGGTGCTGACTGTTTTGCTACAGCATGCAACTCAAAAGTGGCTGGAAATACACAGCTTTGGGAGTCTACAGATCATCTCAGAAGCTAAAGGTCTAGTCTTTTTTTTTTTGTTAGCCAAGATAATCAGCAGCTTGTAGCCATGGGAATCTGCACAGGTTTGTGCCAGGATTGTGCCCGTGTGAGGGTTTTTGTGAGTAGAGGGCTCAGGCCTTCTGTGTTGTAATAGGATACATTTGATGCACCCCAGCACAGTGGGAGATTAAATGATTCAGCAACACATTGTGCTCCTGTCTAGCTTCTGAAGCCTTGATTTTTAGTGAGACAGTAGCAGGTATTTCAGTTTCAGTAGGCAAATACTGACAACACATCAAAAGCCAATATTTGTAAAGTATTTAATAATATTTGGTGTAAAGTTTTATTTATTTATTTATTTATTTTTATTTCAATTGTCCAGATATCCATCAGTGAAATTTTTGGTCAAAAGTGAAACACCTAAGAAAATTAGAAAAGAATTGCCCGACCACTTGATCACCTGCATTAAAATAAAAGTGCAGAGTAGTAGCTTTCTTTGTCGGTGTTGGGGATTAAGCCCAGGGGAGCTTTGCCACTGAGGCCCCCACCCTCAGTATTAAAGTTTGAGCCTGGGCGTGTACATGGTAGGCAAGAGCCCTGCCACTGAGGTATAGCCCAGCCAGCGCTTGCCTAGGCGAGCCTCAAACTCATCAACTTCTGCATCAGTCTTCTGATCCTTGAGATTATAGCTGTGGTCCACGACACCTGGACTCAGCTCTTAATATTTACTAATGTATGTATATATTACACAGTGCAGTGTGGGGATTGAACCCAAGGCTTTGCACATGATAGACAAGCACAGTACCCCTGAGCTGCAGCCCCAGCCTCTTTTTTTGAGACAGGATTTTGCTAGGTTGCCCAGGCTGGCGCTGATCCTGTGATCGTCCCAGCTTGGCCTCCAGTGTAGCTGGGATTACAAGCATATACCACTGTGTCTGGGTACATTTTATCCTTAAAAACAAAACAAAACAAAGAAACACTTTTTTGAACTTGAATTTTAAAAGTTCTTGTTGCTTTATGAGACTTGTAGGTCCTGGCCATTGTAGTTTTGACCTCCACATACTTAAAGGTAAAGTGTCTAGAAGATAAAACTTTCCCTAAGCCACAGTGCAGTCTAGGGCTCCATTGTCACTGATGTTGGTGGTGTTTGTGGTCCTTATGACCCTGTCCCAGTGTAAAGATGCGGCATCAGATGTGGGAGCGACATCAGGTTATACAGAGGGCAGCACTGGCAGCGGAGACCCAGAATGTGCTGTCACTGGCACATGTCCAGGTGCAGCTACCCGCTGGCCCTTAGATGGCTTTATTCCAAGACCCTGGCTTCATTTGTCAAGTTGATGGGTAGATTTTAAAAATCAGTGCAAGTTTCAAATTGTAGGTATTTGTGATTAGTTGCTTACCTAGGGACAGAGAAGCGTAGTTGGGCTTTTGTCACATTGCATATCTATTCAGATCTGTGGACTCCATTCGTTCCAAATGTAACTCTGAGATGCTGATTTGACATTTAGCAGTGACCATACGTGGACTGCCCTATAAGTAGTGTGCTTCTTAGAGCTGAATGGTGTAGCATCACTGGCTTTTCCCTTTGGTCTTCATTGTGTCATCTGTAGTGAGCTATAGATTTTTTATTTTGGGAGTTTTTACAACTTATCATTTGCATGGGTTCACCTAGTAGCATTTGGTTCTTGCTTATAGAGTCTTTAATATACAATCAGTAAAGCTTACAATCCACTCAAGAGACACTTTTGTCACTGTCAAAAAGGGGTTAAATTGTGTAAACTGAATGTGGCTGTCGACTAAAACTACGTCCAGTGTGGAGCTGACATCCATCTAGTCACTGACACACTGCAGTAGAGTTTATCTTTTTGAGACAATAGTCTTCCTCCTAGTATAAAATTGTGGAGTCAACTCTATACAATAGAGTAACTTTTTATGTATGTTTTAGCAGGCTCCTATCACATACAGTGGTGGCGCCTTTGCCAAAATGCCCCTTGTTACCGAGGATCAGCAACTGGAGCAGAGAGGTTCCTGGAAGAGCTTTCTACTTGATACTTAATTTATGAATAAAAATATCAAGGAGTGGCTGAAATAGTTACCGGGTTTTTTGCTTGCTGGTGTTGTTTTCAGCGTATGGATAGTTGTTCAGAGTATGTTTCTTACTTTCAAAGATCTCCCCATTTGAAAGTTTTCTCCCTCTTACATAAGTGGAGAGGATCAGAGGTTGGGTATGCAGCATTTTAATTGTATATTGAAGTTTAGAAACAGAAAGAAAAAGGTCAGCTGAGGTAGTTTAGGCTGGTGGGAAAAAATGAAAGTTTTCAGCCAAATTTCATGATTTGATCACAGTTAGAAGAGCTCCCTTTCCAATTAGTGGCCAAGCACAGAGCCCTTGTTTTGAGCAGAGTGTGTGACAGTGAGTCATGTGGAAACCTCACCACCCTGGGTGAAGGTCTTCACATTAGTAATTAGTCTAAAGGAGTATTCAGGTAAACAGCCCATCACTGCCCTGTGTCTTTGTTAGTTGCAAACCTGACTAATTTTAAAAACAACAACAACTGAAAAAAACAACCATACACAGTGGTGCCTGCCTATGGTTCTAGCACCCTGGAAGGCTGAGACAGGAGGATGGCAAGTTCAAACCCAGCCTGGGCAATTTAGTAAGACTATCTTAGTAACAGTAAGACTGTCTCAAAATAAAAAGTGAAGAAGTGGGGGGCGGTCGCTGGGGATGTGGCTTAGTGCAAAGGCCTTGGGTTCAATCCCTAGTGTGTGTGTGTGTCTCTCTCTCTTTCTCTCTCTCTCTCTCTCTCTCTCTCACACACACACACACACCCTATACTTTATCCAGTGATAATATATTTTTGGTTCTATAAGATTATAATTAAACTCCAAATTACATATTTTATCTAAAGACAAAAACAAAATGATTTTTTAGTTACTTTTTTGTCTGTTTGAAATGCGGTCTTATGTTGCCCACCCTGGTCTTGAACTGCTGGCTCAAGTGATCCTCCTGCCGCAGCCTCTCGTAGCTGGGACTATAGTTGTGCGCTGTTACACCTCACTGATTTTTGTTGCTCTTACAGTAACTATTAGTTTTAAGGTTTTTTTCCCCTAATAGTAGTTTAGAAATCAAGTTAGTGCTCATTACCCCTGTCTGTCTAGACTTCCTGTTGGAGCTGTGAGTTCCTTTGTACCAATTTCCTGTTACAGATAGCATCCATGCAAGTCATCATCAAGATCACAGCCCAGGGCTGGAGATTTAACTCAGTGGCACAAGCGCCTGCCTGGCAAGCACAAGGTCCTGAGTTTGATTCCCAGTACCAAAAAGAAAAGAAAAGAAAAAAGGTCACAGCCTTTTTTCAGAGAGAGAACAGAGAGCATACTACTCATTTCCTGTAGGCTGGTGCTTGAGTCCCTTGTCTTTTGACAGGGCAGGTTCTGGAATCATATCAGACAGAGAAGTGGGCTGTGTTCTGTGCTGTTATAGGTGTTTTGGCGTTTGCACACTTTTCAGCCCATTCAGTGGGCCATGACACACACCCACGGAGCCTGCATTGTCTTGGGCCCCCATAGGAAGTGCCAGCCCTTTTTGGAGATGCACAGGGTTGCCCTCCCTACCAAGTGGTCAGGACAGTGGGAAAGGCCTGTGTTTCCGTGAGCTGCTCACCTGGCTTGATCAGCAGGACTCCGGTGCAGAATAAGGTATAACAGCCTGCCGAGGTTTATCCTCTCTCCTCCCTTGGGAAGGCAAAGAAAATCTGAACCTAAGCTTCAGAGGAGGAAGCCACGCCACTGTGTGTAGGAGCTTTTCTCCTGCAAAGGTGACAGCCATCCTCTTGAGTGGTCTGTAAGGTGTGCTGATTTGTATGACCCTCGGTTTTCCTTCTCCTCCCTGTAACATCTGCGTCCCTTCCACTGTTGTCAGTCACCACATGCTGTCTTGACTCAGCTGCTCTTGACTCTCGTGAATTTACTTATGCTTTCACTCTCCTTTAATGAATACCTTACTTGCAAGCAGTGAATTGAAAACAAGACAAAAAAAAAAAAAAAGACCAGTAGTGATTGGACAGTTTCTTACTTTGTGTTACATTTAACTGTTCTTTTGACAGCCCAGTTTTTAAAGCCAGGTTCGTATGGAAATGCTTTCACTCCACTTGCACTGCTTTTGGAAATAGCATACTGCTTCATCTGTCTGTTTATTTTAGTGCATTCATGATTTAACACGGTCAGCATAATGTCTCATCTCCACCTAGCCAGAGGTGGCACATTCTTTAATGAACAACAACAAAGACACAACAAAAGGAAGGCAGACAACAATATTTGTCAGCATTGTTTAATATCTAAGACTCATTGTCAAATGTAGTTACAGCATTAGTCTAGTAGTAGTTTAAAACTGCGTACTCTTAAGTCCTTTCCAGAGTCTCAGTTGTAGAAATTATATGTAATAAGGACTTCATATCAGGTAAGTTTGTTCTCATAACAGGCGAATAAGGACCTCTTTACCTTTCTGGTTTTTGCTGAAATTACTTTTATATCAAGACTTTTCATTTTTATATTTTGTGGTGCTGAGAATGGGACCCAGGACCTCATGAAAGAATGTTAGAAACACTACCACTGAGCTACATCCCCAGACTCAAGTTTTTAAAAGGATAATAGTTACTCATAAGGAGACAGACTCAGTGCTGGCTACGTGTGCTTTTTCCTGGAAATACAAGGGAGAAGGAAAGTAGCAGCAGTGTAGTGTTAAATTTTGGTGATCTCTAATGTGGGCTTATACATACTCTAGTATTTTCCACTTCTTTTAATTCTTAGCAAAAATAATCTGTATAATGCCTTTGGTGCACTGTAATTATATGTTATGTGTGTCTCACACAATAGTATCTTTTGTTTTAGAACACATTTTTCATTATAGTTTGCCTCCACTTTTTGTTTTAAATAAGGTATTCTAATCCCCCTTGTCCTTCAAGGAGATAATCAACCACTCAGGTGGGTTTTGTAGTTTGCATGCTGACATAAACTTAATTGTCCCTTTAAAAACAAAAAAAGCTGGGTGTGGTGGTGCAAGCCTGTGATCCCAACACTTGGAAGGCTGAGGCAGGAGGATTATTGCAAGTTCGAGGCCAGCCTTGACTGCATAGTGAGTTCAAGGCCAGCCTGAACTGCTTAATGAGAACCTGTCTCAGAAAACCAAAGTAAACCAAATCCAGAGGATTTGATGGGGGCATGCTTACTCACCTAACTCCCTGTAAGAGGTGATAGCAGTAAAATGTTTTTATGACTCCAAGGAACATTTGATCATTGAATATGGAGCCAGATGATAAACAGCTTAATATGAAGTGTCTGATTTCAATGAAAGATTTGTGGTTTTGTTTTCTTTATAAATGGATTTCCTGTAACACAAGAGTTCAAGTGGTGATTCTAGATACTATAAATTATGTACACATTGAACACTGTGTGTGTATACACACAGTATACACACACAATATGGGGATTGAACCCAGGGCCTCACACATACTAGGGGAGGGCTCTACCGCTGAGCTACGTGCTTTTGATTTTAAATTATTTTTGATGAGTGGTATCATTTTTTTCTGACAGTGAATGGTTATTTGAGCTTTTCCTTGGTACTTCATAATAACAAACACCAAATCTGAAATAAAAATAAAAAGCAGAGAAATTTGACAAGAGGATTATAGAAGTTCCTGCCCTCTGGACCTTCTGCACAGAAGCTGACGTTTAATTGTTGTTTCTCCTCCACAACTCCCCTCAAGTGGCTGTCCAGGCTCAGCTGGGAAGATGAGACATTATGTGTGTTGGTCCCTCTGTACACTAACGGCTCTGACTGTAACTCACCGCCAGGCCTGCTCCATTCTAACGTCTTAGCATTTTTGTTAGACTACGTGTTGAAATGCATCACCCAGTCTGTGCTTGAGCTCATTTTTTTCTGTTTAATCAATTTAATTTCTTGTTTTACTAACCTCACTGTTTTTTCAGTTTAATATTGGCTGCATGCTAGTTAAGTATTTATATTTTATATATTTATATGTTAAAAAAACCAATCAAGTCTAGCCTGGATTTTGCTGATTGTTTTTTCATTTCTAGTGGTGGGGTAGTCTTACAACTTACTTTGTATCAGGAAAGCCTTACACGTAAACAAAATAACTGAACACAATGTAGGTTTTCTTTCCTAAAGAAAAATCTTAAAGTGGTGCTGTGTAGGTGATGGATACAATTGTTTAAGGACCTTGATTTCATGCTTTTTAATGTTAGTTTGAAATTTTCACAAATGTATTCTTTCCCCTTTTCCCTTCCCCCTTTTTGCTCCTTTTGAAAATGCTGTGGACCCAAGCTGCCCAGCACACCATTAGAAAGGGCCCTTCCTCCATGTCCTCTTCCCCATAGACAGTACTAGCCAGCCTTCCCTTCACATTAACGCCCCTTTCATTGGGCACATTTACCTTGGTATAGCACCTTTTTGCATGCATATATGTAGATTATCTCTTGCTCATCACTGTTAAGTGTCACTAGGAAGGGAAGAATATATTACTGGAATATTTTTGGTTTGTCTCTCTGTTCTGTCTGTCAGGATAATATTGGACATCGCTTACTCCAGAAACATGGGTGGAAGCTGGGCCAGGGATTGGGAAAATCTCTTCAGGGTAAGTTTTTAAATTTACAAACAAAAAAAAGGAAACAATGTTGGTGATGCAAATCGTGAACATGAATTTATTTGTTGTCTTTAAGAAACTGTTTGGGTTTTCCCCCTACCTTACCCCTTCTAGAATAGTCTCCTCCTCCAGCTGTTTTAAGTTGCTATACAGCCTCTCATGTGCCAGTAATTTGCAGGAGTAATTGCTGTATCATTAAACTTGCAGGTCAGACACTGTAGCACCGGGTGTTTCAGTCTTTGTGTGTGGAGGTGACAGGTGGGTGGAGTAAAAGGAATGCGAAATGCGGGCAGAGGCATGCCTTCTGGGGACAGGAAAGGTGACTTCAGGGTTGTAAGGAGAAGCATTAGCCGCAGAGTCTAACTTTTGTCTTTCTAAAGCTGGTCACTACCCCTGCTCTTTTACTCTCTGATCAGATCCATGGAGTGGTGGAGAAAAAAGTTCACCTATGTGAAACATGGAAAAGTAGCAGTTTGCTAGGTTCTCCACGCAGAGGGCTCTCTTTGTGGGGTCACATCAGGCTTTAGAAGATGTGTGGCTTCAAGTTTCTGTCGCATTTATCTTTTCTTGCAGCTGTACTGTTTGGGTAAAAAGAAAACACCAACATTTTGCTTCTGAGTTCTCACTAGTTGGAAAGCAACCAACTGCATCTACTTTTGGCTCTCCCAAGTTGGAAAGTTAGTGCTTGTTGCAGGTGTGTGCGGTCCCTGCCTTGGGGTGACAGGTCACTGTGCTCTGTGCCTAGAGGCGGACGTGTTGCTCGTGGCTGATCCTGCACACTTCGGAAGTGGTTTTCAGGATGAATGAAGTTTTATCATTTCAGGTGTGTTGAGAGGAACAGGACAGGCGTGGAATAGTATGGCTCAGTCATTAAACTTTTGCCTTCTAAGATCTACAAATTGTCTTCCGTAGTGACATGGGAGGCTGGTGCTCTGTCCTGTCTGTCTGTCTGTCTGTCTGTCTGTCTGTCTAATATCTCTCCTAATTGAGGATCTGAGCACATTGTTGTTTGTTGCTCATTATTTAGGCACGTGAGGTGGGGGCATTTCACTCTAGCCTGTTGTGATTGAATCTCAGAATCGTTCTCATTGTGCTTCAGGGACTTTAAGCAAGAGCACAGAGGGGCAGTAGACATCTATCTTACCTATCTGTCTGTACATCCATACGTCTAGATATATCTGTACATACATATCTATCTAGACATCTATCCAGTATCTATACATACATCTAGCTGTATGTATATTCTGTGTACATACATTTAAGAAAGAAGAGGTATAGATACTCAACTACATATGACCTAAAACAACTTTCTAAAAAATAATTCAAATTTTGGTTCTCTAAATTTTGAGTTCCTAGGGCTGGGGATTTAGCTCAGCGGCAAAAGCGCCTGCCTGGCAAGCGCAAGGTTGTGAGTTCGGTTCCCGGTACCGGAGAAAAACCATAAATGAATGAATGAATGAATGAATGAATAAATAAATAAATAAATTTTGAGTTCCTTGGAAAGAAGAATTAGGCATTATCCATATTTTATCTCCATCCGTATGTTCCCAGATATGTAGTTAGCACTAACTCATGAATCTGTTCATGTAAAAACACAAGGGAAGTTTGAAGCATACTTGAATGATTTTTCCTTTTTGTTTGTTTTGTGTGTGTGTGTGTGTTTGCTGTAATGAGATTTGAACCCAGTGTCTCTCACATGGTGTTGCTGAGCTACACTCCCAGCCTTTTTCCTTTGTGACTCTGTTTGTTTGTTTTTGGTTTTTTCTGGTACTGGGAATCGAACACATGACCTTGCACTTGCCAGGCAGGCGCTATGCCACTGAGCTAAATCCCCAGCCCTCCTTTGTGACTTTAGTAAAAATATGTAACATAAAATTTATCATCTCACCCATTTTTTTTTTTTTTCTCTATCCCTCTCCATGTCTCTTTGGTTGCTGGAGGCAGAAGCTGGTCACCCTGCACCCTGCATGCTGAGCTGTACCAGCTGCCCTGCTGTTGTACCTGTCCTGAAGCGGGCAGTTCAGTGTGTTCGGTGTGTTCACATGGTTGGATGAAGGCTTATTGCTCTGAATAGGCAGTGCACTTCTTTATCCTTAAAAAGAAATGGACTTGTAGTCTGTTTCCGGTAATAAGGTTTAGTTTGTTTTGCAAATAACTATTTCCTAGTGTCAGCAGTAGGCTGGTTTCTCCCATACAGCTCTTTCTGTAATTCATGTGTGACTTGACTTCAAATACAACTGCATTTAGATCTACTGAGACAGACCAGCCTTCCCTGCACTAACCCTGTGCTGTGAACAACCGGTGGGGACACTCTGGTTGCTGTGGTGAAATGGTAAAACCTCCTTGGGGTTGTCTGTGTGGATTACTGTGTGCAGTTTCTAGGCTAGGTCTGGCAAGTTCTTTACATTTACTTGTTTGTTGAAAACTTGCAGTTCTTCTTTTTGAGCTTAGAACTTTAATGTATTGAACATGCAGCCACCCACAGAAACTTACTTATTTTCACTAACATTTAAACCTGGCCTCTTCACCTTGTATCTGACAAAGTATAAAAGGCTTACTTATGTGGGACTCAGTGGTCTCTCAGTGCTCCCTGGGAGAAAACGGCCAGAGGATTTAGAAAATAAAGAAAAGAGAGGATAGCCGGGGTCAGGTGGAGTTACCTCTTGCCTGATGAGCAGGAGGACTGCCCAGAAGGCAGTAGAACGTTTATTTATACCCTGGACAGGTTGTCTAATTTTTTGTCTCGCTGCCCAGCAACCAGTTAACAAGTTACAAAGGCTTGTTTACTCCAAGGGGCTCCCGTGTTCTCAGGCTGGCTTCATCCTACACATGTAATTATTTTCCAGCTTCAGCAGCTCCCAACATACTTCCCAGCATGCCAGTCTGTAGGCCCAGGCTGGCATCCTGACCTGGGATGGGAATGGAGAATAGGGTATGCTGGCTGTTGGCCTGATGTAAAATTCACTTTGTAATCTGCGTTTATTTTTGTATTTCAATTTTATTTGCCTTTTGTTCTCAGTGTTTATTATGAAGTACTTTAAAAGTTACAGAACTTTTATGTTGAAAATAAATGATTATTAGTGTTAAAAAAAAACCTATAAAAGAGATGCAGACAAAGTGTCATCTGAAGAACGTATCACAAAGAAAGCTCTGATGATAGGAAATATGTATAGTTGCTTATTATAGTAACAGAAGAGTGTGTTTAATTCAGAAAGAAGCAAGAGTAAAGGATTGTATTTTGTGGCAGTTGGACTGGATTCAGTTTTGAAGTATTTTATAACCTTTTGGGTGTCCCAAAATGTAACGGATAGAGTGTAGCTCAGAATCTTTTATCTTGCTATCAAATACGTTTAGACAGCAGATGTAGCCCAGAAATAGTGCCTACCCTCCTTTTGCTATAGAGACTAAGTGATTTGATGTTTTGTGTTTTTATCACCTTCAAGAATTAAGCCTCTAGAAAAAACGAATGGGGTCTGGTATTATTTCATATCTCACCCCACCTAGAAGGTTAACTTAGTTTATTTAGACAGCCAGCAAATGAGCTAATGAATAATGAAGTGTGCTGAAGTTGTGCTAGCTGGCCAGAAATAGCTGGCAGGCGGATGCTGTGGATAAGATGTGACTCCTGCTCTGCAGGGTTTATTTCTAGCCCCCTCATCCCTGCTTTTTTGGAAATAGGATCTCACTGTGCAGTTTAGGCTGGACTTGAACTTACTGTGTAGCCCAGGCTTGCCTCGAACTCAGCAATATTCCTTCCTCAGCCTCCTGAGTGCTGCGATTATAGGCATGCGCCACCACAGCCAGCTAGTCCTGCTTTTTTAGCTGCAGCGATCTCTGAAGCTTTCTTCAGGCCGAGGACCATGTTGTGCACTTCAGCCTTCTCTTTTTAGGCACAGAATTAAGGAAGTTGTCAGCCCTAATATCTAATTGACATATTGCTTCAAGCGCCTTGAGCACAAGGGCTCTTATCTTTGTAGAAAAAGTATGTGGTGCAGAGCATGAAGGCGGTATGTTAGCATTTGGAAACTTAAGGTCTAGGGTTGAGTTGTTAGGTGCTGCCTTGCTGTTTAAGTAAAGGGAAAAGTTACCATCACCGAATTATTTCCCTCAAGAATAAATAGGACCATTGATAATAACCTACCACTTTTGTCTGTAACTCACTGTTACTTGTCTGTTTGTTTTCCTGAGAAACTATCTTGTAGATAACAATATGTAAAACAACAATCATTGATAATTTCCTACCACTTCGTCTGTAATTCAGTAAACTATGTTATCCTTCTTTTACTCTTTAAAATTAAAAACAAAACAAAACAAACAAACAAAAAAAACAAATAGGAGTTAAGATCTCTACCTACCATGCCATGTAAAGGTCATAAGGATGAAGTCATCTTATAAGAACTGTAAGACTGTAGCCAGGCATAGCAGCCCATGCCTGTAATCCTAGCATTCTGGGCAGGAGGATCACAAGTTAGAACTCAGCCTGGGCAACTTAGTGACTTACTAAGCTTCTGTCTTAAAATAAAATATTTTTTAAAAAAGAGCTGGGGACATGGCTCATTGTGAAGATTTTAGATTCAATCCCCAATGCAAAAATTAAGTCAGTTAAATACTAATTTGTTATATAAGTGGCTATAATTTGTTATATAAGTGTTAACATTACTGTTTTAGTGCACATTTAAATATTTTAACAGAATTTGAGATAATCCAGTTTTAGGTCTTAATCAGAAAGTTAATAAATTTCTTAATCAGAAAGTTAATAAATTGTTATTTATAACTTTAGCAGTCATATCTCCTACATATAGAAACCTGAATGTCATCACAGTCATCAGTAGGGATGCTTCTCTGTCCTACTACTATTTCCCAGATTTAATGATAATAGTAGCAGATATGCCTGTGCGTATTAGATAGTGGGACTCCAGGATTTGTGCTTTTAATATTGTGTGTGTGTTAGGGCTTCTACATTCCCAAATTTTGGTGTCTATTGTACTAGT